GCAGGAGAACGCTTGAACCCAGGAGGTGAAAGTTGCAGTGGAGCCGAGATCTGGCCACTGCACTCCAGCCTGGGTGATACAAGGTGGCTCAGTCTCAAAGAGCCACTGCAATCCAGCCCCTGGGACAGAGCGAGACTCCATCTCAAAAAAAAAAAAAAAAAAAAAAAAAAAAAAGACAAACATCCCAAATGTGAAATTGGCACAGGTCTTGAATAGGGGGTTCACAAAGGAATGAGAGAGCTTAACAAATCTCTGTAAAGATGCTCAGTCTGACCTTTCAGCTGAAGAATCACTTTTGCTTGTCAAGCTTATGAGTGTGTGTGAAGTTTTGGGACTGCACACTTGAGCGCGGTCATGGTAGTTTAAATTGACACAACTTTTTTTTGAGACAGGGTCTCACTATGTCACCCATGCTGGAGTGCAGTGGCACAGTCATGGCTCACTGCAGCCTCAACCGCCTAAGCTTAAGGAATCCTCCCACCTCAGCCTGCCAAATAGCTGACTACAGGTACACGTCACCACACCCAGCTAATTTTTAAAAAACTTTTTGTAGAGATGGGGTCTCAAAAAAAAAAACAAAAAAGCTTGGGCTTGGTGGTGCTCCTATAGTTCCCACTGCTCAAGAGCTAGGAAGAGAATGCCGCCTGCGAACTGGGCGTCAGAGGTTGCAGTACGTGAGAATCTCACCCACTGCGCACCCTCAGCCTGAGCAACAGAGCAGACTCGTCGTCCCTCAAAGCGCGCGCACAACAGAACATACCAGCACACCACATACCACATCTGAGTCACACATATACCACGCTTCTTCTTTTTTTTTTATTTTTTTCTTTCTTTTTGTGAGACAGGGCTCTCTCTTTTGTTGCCGCAGGCCTCGACGTCGCGGCACCCCGATCATACGCGCTTCCACTGCAAGCCTCAACCTTCTGGCGTCAAGTGATCTCGCCCACCCTCCGCTCCCCAGTACCTGGACTACAGATGTATGCCGCCGCACACACCACATCCTGGCTACACTTTTGTACTGTTTGGTCAGAGACTGGCGTGTTTCGCATGCTTGCCCAGCGCTGGTCTCAATCCCTGGGCTTTATGCGACTCTGCCTGACTTGGCTCCAAAGTTCTTGATGAACAGATGCCACATATACCACTACCAGCCGCTACTGCGAAATAATAACTCAAGCTAGAGGGCGGGCCCGGTGCTTACACCTGCGTAATCCAGCACCTTTGGAAGCGCTGAGGCCGGTGAAGTC